ATAACATCCGATTTAGATTAAAGATTAAACTGCAGCAGAAAATAAATTTGAATAACTGCCTCAATTTAAGAGTTGTAAAACTAACAAAACGATTTAATATTTTTGGAACAAGTTTTGCATTATTTTAAAAGGACCAGTCTGTGTTGTCTGGCTAATGATACGCACAAGCGGCTCCTGTGCCATCATCAGCCATTGAACCGGTCACCAGAAGTGCCCATCCGTGTTCACTCAGTGGTTTGTTTACAGAAACAACAAAGTCTACTGGTACCTACGCGAGGGAATTTCGCGTGAGGCCTCTACTTGGCCTTAATTTTTTTCCAAACTACATATTGACATAAGGTCTTGTATAAACAGAGGCTTTTTGCGATCGAGGCCCGGTAGGGTTACTTACGCGTGTTGACAGTGCTAAATCAATCGATCCAGCGATGAGTTTCTCAAGCTTCATGGTATCTGGCTGTCGTTTAATGAATCTATTTCTGCCGTCTCTGCGATGTGTTGCAGACGGACCACTATATGTTTATTACCATCTGGAGATTACATCCTATACATGCATTAACCTGATTGGTTCCTAACTTATAAATTGTTACTAAAATAGAAACGTCTCTGTTCACGGTTAGAGAGTTAGATAGCTAGTGGGCTTTGAACCTTCGGTGCTACCGTGAAAATGGAAAAGAAATTCTTGTTGGCTGATGTCGTAACCGCACAGTAGCTTTGGCGGTTTTTTGTCAGCATTCCTGGTGCACCTGATTATCTGACTCGAGGTTATGCAATATTTAAATATGAAAACAATATGAGGATTAATATTTTATTGTTCTTTCAAGGTTGGGTAGGTAAGTACATTATATCCAACTGATTTTTATGGCAGGTTACGCCTGCATAATCAAACTCAAACTCAAACTCAAAAGTATTTATTTCAATTAAACCATAATTTGGTACTTTTGAAACGTCAACAAATATGAAATATATAATAGTCTGTCAGTCTGTCCGTCAGTGAAGCTAGGCGCTCGTTCCAAAATGTCGATTCGAATGGAGAAGAACGAGCAAGAAACTCCATTCGTTACTCTTTTAAAAAAAATCGAAATAGTTACCGTCTGAGTACTGTAATAGGTGCGTTTTTGTTAATCATTATTCACTGAAAACCTGCACATTCGTCTAGCTCCTTCAGTGGTTCATTTTGTTTTATTGCAATGCGTACGACGTGACCCGCTTACGGAACTGCTACAGGTCACAATTGTACTTCATTTATAGAACCAATCAATCTGCTATCTGCGATCTAGTCACTGCTGGATTTCTAGCTTTTTATGCGTCTGATGTCTGAGGTTAATAAACTTGCGTTTCTGATTGCTCATTCATCTTACATCATTGTGGTTTAAGATAGATTGAAATTTTTCATTTACCTGTATACCCGGCTCCTGTATCATTAGTATCTAATACAATTTAGTTTCGCTCGCCTAGATTAGTGTTCGTATCAAGTTTTTTCGGTCTGAGATTGGACGCTGCGCTTTTTGCATTTACAATTCGATTATATCCATCGATGTTGTGTCTCTTATGATCTTCAGCTAGACCAGACAGACGTTCATTGTCGACAATTGTACAATCCATTGTTACAATGTTTTTGTCTGTTTGCTTTGAATAAGTCAATTGTGGATGAAGGAAGTGAACCATTTGGGTTCACTTGTTGCTTACAACAGCGAATCGACTCACGCTACCTAAAATTTTCTCGCCGTTATAATTACTTAACGTTCCTTAGTTACTGGCCGTTGGTGCGTGAAGGATGTTAAGTACACTTTAAATATTTTTTATATCACGTTAAGTAGCCACTTGAGGTGTTGTTGACTTACAAAACATGTAGCTTAGGTAGTTAAATAAACGTCTATTTATTACGGAATGACGTGACCACTGGTATTGCCGACAATTTGGTGGGTGATTGCGTAAAAAATATCAGTAATTCACGTAATCAAAACGGCATTAGCGAAGCCAAAGCGGTTAAAAAACGTTTGCTCTTTGTTGTAATAGTAGATTTGTTTAATGTTTCGGTACTTAGTCACGCACTATTTAAGTCGAAGGTAATAATTGCCGTTACTCGAACTCTTTATGAAGCTTCCATTAACTCTATCAAAGCACAATTGATTTAAAGAGATTGATCTATCTGTAACCTTCGATTTTCTCTGTGAGCAATGAAGACATTAATTAATTCAGTTCAATAGGGAGTTGGTATAACTGGAACCATCTGTATGTAAGATTGATTCACAGTGCACTACATCTGGTAAATGCGTTAGGTAGCTGATGCTTCGGTAGCGAGGTCGTTGGTACATGATTCCTATCTAACATGCAGTCTAGTCTAGACTAAACGTGATGTCAACGCAGCTATTCTAAAAATATTCTATCTTTTCCCATGCGAGTCGCATCGTGTATGTCAACTTCAGCATCCTTAGAATATCACTTGAAATCACAGCTGACACACCTGTATTTTTATTTTTTATGTCGATTAAACCTGTTGCAACTTGCTGCACAACATTTACACCTTACATAATACGATTATGTATATGCATCTAATTTGGAACGCCAAGGTCATTATGTCAATGACCATTTCGGGGCGGGGCATCGATTAAGTCAATATCTCCTTAAGTGGCACTTGCAAATTAATCATCGTGCATGTCTCGATGCACTTTCCATCTTACTACAACTGTTCCGTTAGTATTTTTGATTCATTCATGATTCTGATCCACTGGAAAGATATGTTGTTTTAGCTCTGCTGCTATTCTTGTTCGGGCTGTATATCATTGATTGAAAACCAAATTCGGGACGACACGATGCAACGGTGTCGTATGCGTTATCTCGTAGTATTACATGTAAATCTTCCCTTTATCAGCGATTTATTGGGTGCGCTTGACTTTAAACATTCATGTTTATTATCCCTGTACGTTTGTACCACCTTATGTTTGTACCACGTTGACGTAGGCGTCACAGCCCAGTTGTGTTTCCATCTGAATTACATTACAGTAAAATGTCCGAAGTGGACGCGACATATCCTTTTGTTGTTGTTTCCTTTAACTTAAATACGGCTCCGTTTGCGCCCGAGAAACTACCAATATCATCCACCCACACGCGGCCAAATTCTATGCTGCCACAATAAAAGGATTATTATCAGCCCCAAAAAATACACATATGGTAATGGCGACCCACGTTATGTCTCAGGAAATTTGAGTCTCTTTATGAAGGTGTTATTCATCTAGATTACTTAGGAGTCCGTAATAAAAGCGGGTTCATGGACACTGAACTGCCGCAAGTTTAACGAAATTCTGCACTTTTTTGCAGTAGAATACTTAGAATTACACGCTACGTTTGTCGGTGCGAAAATTCACATTAAAAATGTCAACATACTTGTCATTTCGGACGGCAATAAACAAAATAAATGCAAGTTTTATATCTTTGTAAATAATTGTTCCTCTCAAACAGACGGTCTTGACGAATTACTGTGTTTGCTATAAGTGTAAGCGTAGACGTGTAGCGATATTAATCTTGTATCGCGCAGACTTCGCTAGACGAATGGTAGCAGTGGCAGATATATCATCAGGTGGTTTTAATTCCGGTCATCAATAAGTGTAATCAAAATGCGCTGTATACGAATTATTCTAATGATTAATTGAAAGCGTGCCGAAAAAAAATCGCTGACAAATCGAGACGCTATCAGACAGATACACGTTAAGTTTATTGCGTTTTTTCAGTGTCTTTTTATTCGCTTGTTTCTGACAAAAGCCTTTGGGTGGGCGAACTTTTCAAGGCCTGTTTATGCTTCAGGAGGTCTCAATCTGTTTCCTTGTAAGAGCTCAAACATTTTCTTAAACTCTAATCCTAATCGGCTCGTTTATCTCAATTTCCAGACGGGCTAAAAGCAGTTTTGCATAAACCAATTTGAATATTTTTGCATTCGCGTCTAAATTTACAGAGACTTTAAAAAAGTCGTAATAAAGTCTAGGTAGGTTTTTTATTGTTAGGTCATAAGCTTTTTTTGCGAGTTTCGTCATGCTTAATTTACAGATCTTTTACCTCTCGTGGCGATTGTTTCGTGTGCATGCGTCTTGTATTTTATTATTATTTTTTTGTATGTGCAGATTAGGATTCATCAAAATATATTGTATTGCCACTAGCATGTAGTGTTGAAATTAGCAAATTCAATTTGTCAATAGTTTTTGTATAATCTTCATCGTGTTTAGTATTCGCATGTTTCTGTTTTATGACTGTGTGGCTAATGACTGCTGCAACATTTATAACTTTAACACCGTCTAATGTTTTTGTTCGTTTGACAAATATGTTCCTCTTAGTTCTACAGCCACGTTCAGTTGCCACTTAAAATTATTATTTAACTTGAAATGAGTCGTAATTTTTTTGAGGGTTTGTACAGAAATCTTTATCTATTGTTGCTTGGTAAGATCTGTAATGAGTTTTTTTGTTACTTTTGTAATGAGATTGTCAAGATAGACAGCTTTTCGTAATGGCTGTTTATTGACTACCGTTCATTGTATTAGTGATACCGTCCTAAAAAAAACTTTATCTATATTTAGACATTAATGTCCAGAGTAAAACTTGTTATTAGAAAACGATTATTATAATTATAACTACTTTGGATGTTGCATCTTTTTTGTAAAATTTCCTTAGTTTTTGCTGGTTTTTATATCTAGCTCTGCGCTTTATTTTTTAGTTTTTGGCAACATCATTCTACATGGTTATGATGGACAGGTTTTGCCACATAGCTCATTTGTCCGCACATTATAATGTTGCAATTACATGTACCTAAATGTATTTTATTGTTGGTCATTCCCAGAATTGGACTGTAATGAGTTTTTACGTGTCTTAATGTTTAGAATATTTAAAGTAACTGCTATGTGATGTGGAAACCGGTGGAATATTTTTGTTCCTAACATTAAATGCAATTATAATTTTTATTTTTATGGGAGTTAGAACTAGAACATTGTTACTAAATCTTCCGTTTTTTACAGGAAAACATCGATCCATCACCTTACAGTCTATCCCCAATATCGGCAAAGTCAGAGAAACTGCTCCGGTCTCCAAGGAAAGCGACTAGAAAGATATCGAGGATTCCGTTCAAGGTGCTGGATGCTCCTGAGCTGCAGGACGACTTCTACCTGAATCTGGTGGACTGGTCTGCGCAGAATGTGCTCAGTGTGGGCCTTGGGAGCTGTGTCTATTTATGGAGCGCTTGTACTAGTCAGGTAAGGACTTAATTACTATGAATAAACTAACTAGAAACTACCATTGGAAAACTTTGATGTTAAATTATCTCGTTGATCGGGTGAACGCTTCTAGATAGGGATTTATGTATTTTATAGTTTTGCCCTTTGTACTTTTATATGATCTACAGATACCTGAAATAAAGTCTCACTCCATAAAATATTAGCATCTATTTATAATTTAATTGTTTGACAGGTGACGCGGCTCTGTGATCTCTCGTCTGAGGGTAACGCCGTGACATCAGTCGCGTGGAGTGAGAGAGGACATTTGGTTGCAGTCGGGACGCAGAAAGGACACATCAGCGTGTGGGATGTTGCTGTTAATAAAGAAGTAAGGAATCCTGAAAAATGGTTACACATTAGGACATCATTATCATCAACCGCCTATAAATGCCCACTGCTGAGCAAAGTCTCTTCTCACACGGAGAAGGTTTGAGCATTAATCACCACGCTTGCTCAATGCGGGTTCGCGATTTCAAACTTATAATTGGAAATTATAAGCCTAGGTTTCCTCATGATGTTGTTCCTTCATCGTTTGTTAGTGGTGTCTAAATAAAATTAGGATAATTAGAGCGATTCTTGGGTCAGTATACATGGTTCATAGGAACATAGTGTATTGGTAGACTTAGCGTTGTCCTTAAAGAAGGCGAATACGGGAGTATCGTATAAATAACTCGTAAAATAGGTTCACAATTTTCTACAGTAAAAATTAGGGGACATTAAGTTCGTGTGGTTCTGGTAACTTTGTATGAAACTTAGGACGAGACTAAATACTTATCTCCTGTTGATTCAGTGCCTAATATGATCGCGGTCAATTAGGATACCGCCTTACACCCTTCTTTATGGCATGATAGCAAAACTGAGTCAAGTGGATGGTATGATAGTCTTTGATACACTTCTAGGTAAAATAAACGTTATGTTTAGATTACCTATACCTAAGTTGTGAGTAATAGTAAAATTGCAATAATAATATACACGATGTTATCTTCTGACATATTATCGTCACAAATTATCACTAAACCAATATTATTTTTCACTTGACTTTTCTTATGACATTTGATGACAGTTGCAAACCTTAGAAATTGAATGATTTAAACATATCTGGTAGCGAGACAATAAATCGTATGCCATTGAGCTGTTATTATATTTAATTAATAGAATTATGGTCTCCAGCTCTGTAACTAATCAGCAATCAGTAGCCGACCAGTTAAAACTAGTCCGATAAATTATGCATCCGCAATGTCTAGATGTTAGATACCTAAGATAGTGATGGACCGATCATCGAATACTTGTTTATTCGATTTAAATACAATTTTGTAATATCCGGCTGATCAGATTGCTTTGTGTTTTTATTTTTCATAAATTGAACACTTTACTTTTATGAAATTCGGTGTAAGAACAATTTGTTGTTGTTATTTTTCGTGCCTGATTTTTAAAACATAAGGTTTATGTAAGTTTGATCTAGATTATTTTTACGCATACTCATGTCATCCGAATACTCGAATAGAAAAACTGTATCGTATAAAACTCGATATCACCTTCAGCACAACACTAGAGAACTCGCGGATGCATAAGTTTTATTAGAATATTGCCTACGCTCCAGGCGTAATTTAATATCTAGATTTATTTCTAGGATATTACTTGTGATCTTGCAATTTTCTAGCTAAAGTTGTTTGTGGTTTAAATATAACGCTGGTTATAGGTTTTCTATGACTTCTAACGTAGTATATGTTCGTTCATCTGTCGCTGTCAGTTTTGTCATAGATTTATTAGACTTTGTTCTTGAGGAGTAACGTCACTTCTAATATCTTTGCCTATGTAGTATTTTGTAATGAGATAATCTTTCGGTCGGTGACATTCTGTTTATTGCAATGAGATCAGGAAACACTTTTAGTTCATACATTTGCAATGCCAAGGTATAATAGACTTCGGAGGTAGGCAGTAATTCTGGTTTTGTTAGAAATTTGGATTTGGATTCTTGAAACCCATGTCTATAGTAGCATCAGCTGAAAAACATCCACAGAAGAAAAAGGTTCCATGTAAATTTAGTTTTCTCCTTTATAGCTAATAGCTATCATAGTTCCTTAACTCGGCAAGTAGGTAGGAGATCAAAGTTAGGAGATCAAAGTTAGGTTATATAACAGCTTATAAGTGGGCACTGTTGACCAAAAGCCTCTTCTCACACGGAGAAGGTTTGAGCATCAGCACGCTTGCTCAATGCGGGTTGGCGATTTAAAGTTATAATAAGAAATTATAAGTCCAGGTTTCCTCACGATGTTTTCCTTCACTGTTTGTCAGTGGTGTATAGATGATCTTAGAAAGTATATTTAACTCGGAAAAAGTCACATTGGTGCTTACCGTTAGTAGGTTTCGAACCCGCACTCTCATGCGTGAGAAGCGGGCGTCTTAAACCTCCGTGCCACCACGACATAGTATGTAAAACAATCAAAGAACAAAAATATTTTTATTTAGTGCAAATTATAATTTGTGATTCATTTTTCAGGTGACAAAACTTCAAGGGCACATTGCTCGGGTGGGCGCTCTGGCGTGGAACGGAGACATCCTCAGTTCCGGGTCCAGGGACAGGCACATACGGCAGAGAGATACGAGAACACCACGTGAGTACCTATTTACAATTACAAATACATAAAAAATCATGCATCAAGTCTCATGTAGCCAGTTTTCTCTATTGGTCATAATTTTTTTAGGAAAATGAATATTTGCTTTGCACGCTAAGTTAGACAAGGAATTTTAGGTTCGGCACAAAGTCTCATAAAATGTAACTAGCACAGTGTTATATTAAATTTAATATGTGCCATCATTGATAATCTGGTTTTTGTAACGAACCGTAAAAATAGTATAGATTTTCTTTGTAATCTTATTGTGCATGTTATCCCTTAGTGGCTCTTTTCTAAATCTCAATATGTAATTATAGAAACCAATACCCTACATGTTATTTAAACCCATAGGTATTGTTTGTTTCCTTGCAAAGGTTCAAAGACGGACAGTTCAGACAAAGGGTTAGTTCTCTCATAAGTAGGCACTCGCTCGGTTACTTGCCCGCGTTTAGAACAGCGGATGTCAAAGTTTTTGTGAATTACTCTGCAGTTTTCATAACATTCATAAAGTGCAAGTTTTTGATTAAGAGTTTTGGGAACGGGGACTTCCATACAATTTAAATTACTCACTAGGAGATCTTTCATTTATTGTGAGTTGTGAGTGGGTTTGAAAAAATACCTACCTGTCCACAAAAACTAGTAGGTACATTTATTTTTTTCCAGTCTTAATTCTCGACACGTAATACAGAAGCCGACCACTGAATTATGGCGCGAAAAACACGTTGTTATATTAAATACATTGTCCAAAAAACAAGTTTTTATACAATTTATTGCGAGCTCGAATTAATGTGAAATGTAGCTTACAAAATTTAGATTTAAATTACACTGAATGATAAATGATATTTATTCGTACGAAATAGAACTTTTACACGACAATATTAAAAATGTTAACATTTCCTATCAGAGAAAAAGTTCGCAACAAATTCAGAGTAATAATTCATTACGGTACAAGTAACTAAAGTATTTTTTAATGTCCACATTTTCACAGTAATTATGAATTTACTTGACTGTAAAAGAATGTGGTTTATTCACAATTAGCTCCAAGTTTGAGTATCGTTTACTGAAGCACCGTTGCATCTCAAAGGCAAGCGCACGACTTTGCAAGTTCAACGACAATGCAATTATGCCAGTGCAGTGTTATACTTAGTACTCGGTGCTCTGTCGGTACTTTGTTCTGTACCTACCACAGAACTGATTCATTCAGATAAGAGTCCAAAATTATATTGCTTTTTACTTAATTGTCTCTTGTTAGCATTCAAATGGCTCGGAAACTTACATAAAATCACTATTGGAAACTGTAATTTTCATGGAGTAACTTAGACTTCTCATCCCGATTATTCGAGATTTTTTTGTCACGCTTTGTGATAGAATCTAAGAATCTGATATATTGAATTTAAGCGTGTTCCAAGGATCGTAGCGTTACTTAAAAATAAGCACCTCATAGAATTATCGTTTTATTATCGTTTGTGACTTTTCGAGACAAATGTTGGATTTCGATTAGCTTTATTTTTGACTCAAAACGAGACACTCGTTTATTTAGATTCAATTAGGCAGTTAGATAGCTAGATCCTATTATATAACCTTTAAACATATACTTTGTGCACACAACAAAAAGAATAACATTACTAGCTGCACAAAAATTTAGGTACTTGAAGTTTGTAGGCTTACATATAAAGTTTTCCGACTGTTCTTCGTCAAAAATTTGCGAATTATGTATGACGCTGCATCGCTATTCGCTCTCACAAACCACTCGAGCCGTCCGAGCGCTCGTCGCATAGGTTTGACTATTCAAATTTTCACGTAGTGTCTGAAACAACGGGACTCGTAATAATAAAAAAGGTACAGTCTCGTTCAAAACGGGACGTCTGGTCACGTCCTTTGTGTCCAGGAGTATGTAATGTACTTAGAGCAGAGTACTGATGCATTCAGATAACTCGTACAACGATGTTGTTGGTAAACGTGCACTTAGCTCTAATGGCCAGTTTTATTACTCCTGTCATTATTATGTTATGCACTTTTATTATCAACGTTTTTTATTGTTTTCTTCTGTTGACCGCATCGTGTGATTCTCTGATTGTGAATTTATGATTAGTGAAAATACTAAGGTAGCTTCGTTGACGCATTTTATGGTATTTTAGTTCATTTGTAACTGCGTATGTGCGACTGCCGGGCAAGGGGTCTCGGGTTCGATTCCCGGGTCGGGCAAAGTATTACTGGGCTTTAAAAAAATTCCCAGTAGTAGCACGGAGTCTGGAATTGTGCCTGGTATATGGCAATAGGCTCACCCCCTATTACATGTCACTCATAACATAAATAGTGAAAAGTGGGGGTTAAATTGTACAGTGGCCTTAAGTGCCGAAATGTGCACCTCTGCCTACCCCTTCGGGGATAAAAGGCGTGATGTTGTGTGTGTTGTAACTGCGTAATTGTTATAATATTTGTTTAATATTACCGAAGCTACTAGTAGTAGTAGTTTTTGTTAAATAATTCACGTAATTTAATGAAATATTAGACTTATTTTTTACAATATCTTTAATAAACCACAGTTTAAACCTTGTCTAGTTATAACACGATACCTACAGTTACCTCAACAGTTACGGTGCATCCAGATAACTGGCCTCTACCGTGTACCACAACAAGTTCATACTAACCCATTTCCAACTTTATCACTGATAGTTTAAGGTTTAAAATCGATTGATAATGTTTCATAGATCAGGGTAATTTGACGTGCGTGCGTCTATATGTTCTTGTTAGTAAATACATGCGCCGGAGCACGTTTAGGAAGATCCATTACTCCGTGTTCGGGGCACAGACTCGTTATGCTAACAGGACTGTGAGAGTAGCTTTAAATAACTTGATATTGATAGGGTTATAAGTGGTTATTTTCTTATGTAGGTAATTATCTTGGGTTTAGAAAATTTTATTCAGAGCTAAGCTAGTAAGTTTTTGAAGGGATTAGCAGCTTTTCTTGACTGGATCTACATGTTTAGTTAAATCCGTGTTTCAATTTTTCATTGTTTCATTTATTGTTCATGTAAGAACGGGATAGTTTTAAAATCCAATACAATTTCTGATCTCAAACGTTTATTTATTAGAATAGAATTTTATAGGTATTGAATTTTCGCACATTGATTATATTTTATTCACTCAACATTTTCCAATGACAAAGTACCTAATCTTTGTTTTCTATAGTATAGTAAAATTCTTTAATATTCCGTACACGTAATGTGGTTTAACTTCGATCAACAATAGCAACTAGATAAAGGGTTACGTACAAAATCAAGCTCCAGTTCTGTCCGTGTGAATAATAATAGTAAAAATATAACAAACAGAGGAAAATGTTTTAAAATAGTTTTAAGTTCAACCTAATAACAACCACGGCACCTAATAATAAAGTCATAAATCGTCAAAATATTATCTAATACTAACGACCATTCGTCATATAAGACGAGAAAAGCATTTTCTTACTCCTGTCATGTAGAAATTAAAAGACATAAGTTACACAATATCTAGTTTGAATTCAACCTTAAGGTACAACAAATAAAGAAAATTTTTCCGTTATTGCCTTGCGATCTATATCGTTTTGTTTTGTTACGTTTTGCTTTTTGAATTTCGAATTTCGCTACAGGAGGTATGTATGGAGTCGCGTTGAACACTAAAATAATTTTATAATATGAAAATTAAGATTTCGGGATCTTAGTATACATTAATTATTTTTATTAGCGATAGGTTTTTTGTATGATATTATGTTTATATACTTTATTATTAAAAGTTTAAGTCTGAGTCAAAATCATTTATTTCAGTTCGACCAGGAAGGCACTTTTGAACGTCAATAATATACATTTAAAAGTAAACTATTTGCTTATTCCAAGGTGTAGATTCCTATGGAGAAGAACGAGCAAGAAACTCCATAGGTTATGTACTCTTTTCCAATCAGGTTACAATACAATTTTATTTTACAATACAAATCGACTCCATGCATCCACTGTTCCGTTTAAACAAATGTTTGTGCACGTGTTGGCGATGCTTGGCCAAGGGACCGCCAACATACGCACAAATATTGGTGGCGTTGGTTTACAATTGGTAATTTTGTCTAATTTGATATTATTTACTAGTTTAAAAGCTTAAAATACAACTTATACTTTTTGTGCCTATCGTAAGTAAGACACTCCGGCCGTTATACTGCTTTTTCGGTTATTATTTTTGCAACTTGCAATTATGCACTGCGGTGTCGTGAGACGTGAGTACGTTGGCCATGTTTGGAGCGTACTAAACAAAATAAGAGCTCACTTCTCAAGTGAGCTCTTATTTGTCGAGACGATTTTCTTGCGCCGACCCGATATCTAGTTGCTATTGTTGATCGAAGTGGTTTAACATTCACCCAATTTGTCCAATTTATTGCTTTGACGTCCATGTGGCGTCATAAAGCAAGTTCATTAGTCAAAATGACTCATTGAAATATAATTTTATTCTTTTTTTTACAGCGGTGCAAGCATCCCGTATCCTGCAAGGACATAGACAGGAGGTTTGTGGTCTAAAATGGTCACCAGACGGCCAATCACTAGCTTCCGGGGGCAACGACAACAAACTTTTCGTCTGGTCTATGGTAAGTCTAGCAAAAAGCATTGTAATTTTTTTTATTGCATTACGGCGTAAACGAATAGACAAATCACCTGATGGTAAGCAATCGGCACCGCCCATGGACACCCGAAATACCAAGGCGTTACAAGTGCGTTACCGGCCTTTTGGGAATTGGGAATTTGAGGATTGTGGAGGATTCGGGGATTCAGGAGAATAGGGACGGGGGTAATTGGGCCTCCGGTAACCTCACTCACACGACGAAACACAACGCAAGCGTTGTTTCACGTCGGTTTTCTGTAAAACCGTGGTATCACTCCGGTCGAGCCGGCCCAATCGTGCCGAAGCATGGCTCTCCTACACTTAAAACGAACTACACGTAATACGGAAATTGTCCATTATGTTCAGTTTAATGAAAGGATGTATGCAAAAAATGTAGTCGGTATTTTTTTAATTCGTGTTTGGTATAAAAATGCATTTTAAGTGTGTTTATTTTAATTGCCTTGTCAGATTTGCATATGGAATTAGTTTTGGATTAATTCGTTACATTTTATTGTTATAAATGTCCCCAATTTTCTAGCTATTAACATTAATCGAGCTATTAATGTTTAAAACAAATGTTAATTTAGAAACCACTAATTGTATTTCTTGGCTAGCTGTTGGACAGTAGGTAAATATGTTCCTATTATAATCATAACGGAAATAATTAATGAATATTGTTAATAAAACTATTATATTGTAGTGCGTTAAATTTTGCGTGTTACCGCAATTGTTATCGGAAATAATCATTCCCACGGAGAAATACCTATACGGTTCACTATTTATATTTAGTTATGGATAAATAGATTGCCTCGTTGGCCGAGTGGTCGCAAAAGTGCCACTCCGGGCAAGGGGTTTCGGGTTCGGTTCCCGGGTCGAGTCAAAGTATTACGTTTTTTTTAAAATCTCAGTAGTAGCACGGAGTCTGTTATTGTGCCCAGTATATGGCAATAGGCTCACCCCCTGTTACATAAATAGTGAAAAGTGGGTGTTAGTTTGTACAGTTTACATTAAGTACCGTAAATGTGCACTTTGTCTACACTTTCGGGGATAAAATGCGTGATGTTATCTATGTATGTTATAGAGAAATTATGAGTAGAGTAACAAAGATTATTTAATCGACTTCAGTGTTAACACTAGAAATGCCGAGAATCGAAATCATAATTATTAAAATACAATAAATAATAGTCGCATCTAACTTTAAAAATACAAAGATATGAATGGTTGTTCCGAGTCTGGGTGTCATGTCTATGTGAACTTGTATGTTTGTAAACGCACCGACGACACAGGAGAAAATCCTAGTGTGGGGCAACGTTAAAAAAATATAAGTAAGAATACCTTGTTATTGATATATAACGTACATATATAAACTTATTTTATTTAATCTTTCCCGTCTCAGTAACCGAAATTCGGATCTTCACGTAGCAACCTGGTTTATGGCTATTATCATCTGGAGCAAAATTATAATAGCGGAGTTAGTTAGGTATCTACCTAGTGCTAATTCATATAATTAAAGGTACCTTCAGTTCTAACAGTTGTAGACCCTATTATATAGGACTTAAAGTTGTAGATGTAGTGTTAAATAAACTACTCGTTTATTTCAATTACGTTGAATGGCGGTTTGACCTACATAGGATGTTATTTGTGCATTTTGTTAGTATTTTATTTATAAATAGTTGCAGATCTACGTAAGGCTATTGCCTTACGTAGATTAGAACGCATTTTGTTCTTATATATGACGACAGTTTACTCAAACATTTGTTTTTCAATATACATAAATATTGGAAAGCGTACATAGCATCACGCTTTTTATCCCCGAAACGGTAGGCAAAGGTGCACATTACGGCACTTTTATGGTACTGTACAATACTATGTATGTACACTGTATAATACTATAATATCACTATTTATGTTATGAGCTCCATGTAATAAGGAGTGAGTCTATTGCCATATACCGGGCACAAATCCAGGCTCCGTGCTACCACAGATTTTTTTTTAAAACCCATAGTACTTACTTCCTCCGACCCGGGAATCGGACCCGAGACCCCTTACCGGCAGCCGCACTTGCGACTACTCGGCTAACTTCCCCTTGGAAAGCATCGTCAATTAATTATGTATATCCGTTCAAAGATAATGTTAAAACCCCTTTTTTAAACTGAAAAAAGGATTTAATTAAACTAAATGTTTCTCTGAAGTATGTCTTTACAATCTTTCTTCACATTGTACTACAAACATACTATCATAAAGTTCTCTTCTATACTATCGAACTGAAATATAAATATGTATCCTATGTTTACTAAATATGTATCTTCTACTCCAGCACTCCACGTCCCCGGTACAAACGTACTCGGCGCACGTGGCGGCAGTGAAGGCGATCGCCTGGTCGCCACACCAGCACGGCCTGCTCGCGTCCGGCGGCGGCACGGCCGACCGATGCATACGGTTCTGGAACACTCTCACCTCCCAGCCCATGCAGTGTGTCGATACAGGTATGTAAAATTTACTTTATTTTCAGTAGGATAGGGTTTAAAGTTGAGTGAATTGTGTTGTAGTATAGTTTGGAATCCATATAATCTTGATAAGACCTACTTAAGTCCTCTACTGAGATGCTCGATTAGTTTCGAACCCAACCGCAGCCCTGAATCATCATTATTTTAATGGTGATGCGATTTTTAACGAATTTCTTTCGCTAGCCTAAGTATTTACACCTTTACACCACTACTCATTAATTTTACTAACTTTAATTTGTTTGCGTGTAATTCCAGGATCCCAAGTATGCAACCTTGCATGGTCGAAGCACTCCAGCGAGCTGGTGTCCACGCACGGCTACTCTCAGAACCAGATATTAGTATGGAAGTATCCGTCATTGACGCAGGTACGTAAATACCTTAATATCTCAAGTAGCACACGTCTTATTTCATTCTTAAACAGTATATACGTACGTACGTTCGCAACCAATTTGTCCCTATTTTGTGTTAGGTCGAGAATCATTTGCCATTGGTACTAATTTAGACGTTTCTTCATCCCCAGGTGGCGAAACTAACAGGTCACTCATACCGCGTCCTGTACTTAGCACTATCCCCCGACGGCGAGGCGATAGTCACCGGCGCCGGCGACGAGACGCTGCGGTTTTGGAACGTTTTCTCCAAGACACCCTCACACAAGGAGAACAAGAGCGTTCTCAACCTATACACAGCACTTAGATAAACATATACCTAGATATATAGATCTTTTGTATATACTAGATTTATTTATTTTTAGCTATTTAACCTTACGTTTCGAAGGATTTTTTCGGTGTTCTAACAAGCTAATAAGCTGGACTGTTGTACAGTTTCTAATCCGTGTTTGGTTTTGGTGGTTTGTTTGTGTTTATATTAAAAATATATTTTATTTTATGGCAACACTGGGTTAAAGATGGCTGTATAAACAGTATTGCCATCTTTCTCCTAGATATTTGGTAATTCGCTTCAAATCGACCACCATTCCGTACCAAATCGTTATTTTATACATAATGTACACTGGTTTGTGTATAGATTATTATATACATATGATGTAATTATGTATATTTGTTTAGATTGAGTTGTACATAGACATCTGTACAGTCCTGTGGTGACTATTTACGGTTCTTTGATAGAATTGTGTTGTTGCTTATGTTATTATGTTTCTATGTATTTACTTAGATAGAGTGCAGGTTAAAGACGAACTCAGTGACGAAACATTCGCTTTCGTCATACAGAAAGCTTGATATAGGTGGTACTTAGATAGTGACCACAATATAATACAGAGTCGAATGATCTTATAATGTCAAACATACATAAGAATAAAATATTTAAAATATTGCTATGATTGAAATATGCTAAGCATTCACTCAGTGCCACACTTCAAGCTATTTAATATCCAATGCTAATATGAATAAAGCATATTTTCATTTGTCCCGTAAAGGTGATGAAACCGTACTGCTGGACAGGTCGACTTTGTCTTTAGTCTGCACTTGTATTATGAAACTTGGCGATAGTGGGATAGAACTATAAAATACAAATGTACCAAGTATCTAGATGATACCGGTAGTGTATATAAACTGTTTTAAATTACAATTGAAACGGTACCAGGTTTAACCTTCGGATTGGTTAGTAAACTTGGAGCAGCCAATCAAAACGTCGTGCGTTATATACGCGTCGATTGCGGGAACGTAAAACGAACTCGCACTAGGCATTCAGAAACCTTAGTATGAGTTTGTTTTACGTTTAGAGTAATCGTAATGAGGACGCGTTCGGCGCTCTGATTGGCCGGCGCCAATGAGCGAACCAATCAGATTACTTTAAACGTAAAACTCGTACTAAAGCTTCTGGAGTTAAATTGCTAAGAGAAAACTGTTGTAAGGCAAATCGATTGATAACATCAGTCAAAAATCGACTGTATTGTTTAAAGTATAGGATGTATTTTTAAATACAACTTCGCTGCATAGCTAACACTTGCGATGCTTTGTATCTGTGCATTTTGATCTCCTTTGCAGATACTAACTGGAGTTGTAGTACTCGGTCCTAAGAAAAATATAGTTTCTATACTATATACAACTACCAATCGAGCATCGAGCATCGCGAATGCAAAATGAGTTTATACAAGAGTTCCAAGATATAAGTTTCACAGTTCGTTCCCCTTATCGCCTGAGTTAATTTTGACAAAACCCGTATACAGATATGAAATGAAACTTTATTTCTTTATATAAAATTTACAAATATGTTCTTATGAAAATTCTGTTTCGACAGTCGATTTGGTATTGTATTAATTCGTGTTACTAATCAACGATATTTTCTGTTCCAGCTTCATTTATTTTCGATTTTTACCAATTGAGAGTGGGGTATTAATGTTAGGAATTATTATTATTATCATTCTCTCAAATGATTTGTAGTCGAAATTTGTTCCAGTCAATCGAGGAGACGTTTAGAACGAGATTATGTACTATATACAGACTTTAATACATCAAGCACGTCAAAAAATAACTTTGTTGTAAAGTAATACCGTTCAAAGTCGTTAAAGATAGATAACTAGGGCGTAGCTTGATGTGTCAGTGTCCGTTGAAGCGTTTTACTTACAGCTAAATTTCTTATAGGAGTAGTCTTAATGTATATTATGGATTCGCATTTATTAAATGTAAATTGTAAGTTTATAAAGAAACAATTGGAGGTGCCTCCGTAATGATCTCATTAACAACCCTACGATCTTAATATATGGCAACACTTTTATGTATAAACTTTTTCTTCTTTATTTTATTTATTGTTTTCGTCTTCTGAATAGTTTATTTTTTGTATTTTATTGTTATTTGTGGTGTTGTGGGTTGCCAGTTGTTATTTTTAAACCTTGGCAATGCATTTGCTTTAAAATTTAATGTTGTATTGTTTTTTTTACAAATCGTACCGTTAGTTTTTTAGTGAATGGTAGCAAATAGAAGTAAATTTATTTTAATACCTCCTGCAATGTGTAGTACATATATTATTATTATAAAAGAGCTTATGAAGGAGGTAATAAGGTAGAGTTTACTTTGACACGACAGATAACAATATATTTTCGAGGCGCCTCTATTTCCCTATGTATGTCCTACTAGATGTTATATTTTAAGATAGAATTTGACGCGTGCAATGTAGTTATTAATAAAATTTATTGTATTGTGTATATATTTGTCGACTAAGATTGTATTGTATCAATTGCAGTGTTCTAGGAAGGCGATTTTAATATGATGTCTGTAGAGTCTTCGATTCCTAGTCGGGTAAATTGTTATCGAGTTTTCCGAATGTCGAAATTCTCAGTAATAGCTATACATCTGGAATTGGGACCGTTGTAGGCACAATTCTTTTAAAATTGTACGTATTGAACTAATAGATTCTTTTATCTAATTGTGCACATAAATTGATCATGTCATTTACAATACCGAAACAAAATCAAGTAGCTTTTTGTTAGTGATTTGGTCCGAATTTTCGTTTTGCTAGTAGACTATCCTTTATTAATTGTTTCATAAATTAGTTATGTGGATATCGTGAAAGAATACTAATAGCCGATTTTTCTAACGCCAGATAAATTTTAACCGAGGAATAACTTTTATTTGACAATTCTTCCATACTAAAAACTGTCAAATGTCAATTTTATTCTACAGTTGATTTAACTGATGATTGGAAAATCGGCCCTTAATCTCTTTCCATTTTAAAATAATGTATTTCACAATATCATACCATCTTGCCTTCACAGAACACTGCTTTTAAATGAATTATGTTCCAAAAAAGCATTCGGAACCAAAAATTTGTATTTCTTTTTGTTCCAACAAATGTTGATTGCTCGGTTTGTTATTAAAATCAAAATGTGATTGTGTCAATCAATGTATAATCCATCTTCAATGTTTTTCTGTTCAATTAAGTACTGTTTATAAAATTTGATAGTTTTAACGTCATATTATACGGTTGAGGGTTGTATTGCCGCTTTTGCGTTCATTAGGTGGTGTTGGTGTAGTTTTACGTCCTGTTAGTCCAAACACTAAAGTAAAAGTGAAAGGATTAATGGTTTCACACTGGAAATATAGTCTGTAAGACAGAGTTCACTAAACTTCCTAGTGGATTATTCAAATGTGGTAGGTGCTCCAAAAAATGGCGATTTTCCGTCTGATATGATGTTAATTTTCATCAAATTAATCAATGTTATAGTTAAAGAGACAACAACGTTAGGACATATCAATTTAAATAGTTAACAGGACATTCCTTATAACAAAGCTTTTTATATAATATTCTCTGAAATAAATATAATTCTTTATATAATTAAATGTACGATATTAATGACTATAACGTTCTTATCTCTCGGACTAATAAAAATACATATTATTAATCTCAAAAATACACATTCTAAGGTATAAAAATGTATATTTTCTTCATAAATAATCTTAATTCCTGTGCATTATATGTTAAATTGTTAGTATAAAATATTATATAATATAATAGAAGAGTAGTATCGTAAGAATCTAGCCGACTACTATTTATAGAGAAGAAAATTATTTATATAAAATAGAGCGAAATAATATATTAAACTTGTATAGACTGAAAACATTTTTAATATGTATTTTAGAATTAAATGTTTGATTGTGTGCTGTATTTTTGTGGTTTTATTTCGTTACTTCGATAATTTGATTAGCTTATCTCCTTATCCTTACTCTCGTTTCGTTTAACAATGATTGGTTGACTTTGTTCTTCAATAGGGTGGTAGACAGTGTATTCAATTAAAAATGTAATAAGTCCGTCAGTTGCACAATGAAAAAATATTAGAGACGTATTTTTTTATTTTGTCGTATAAGAAAACAATACTTAGATAAAACGGAGTTAAGTTTAGGAGTCGTTCCACGTGTCGTTACGTCACGCTACCCTATAAAATGAGGAGTTGTGTTATATCTGAGGGCTTAGCGTGAGTTCGTTTTACATAAAGAAATCAAAACCTGACCGCCGTTGTCGCTCTTATTGGTTGGGTTTTTTGGAGCCGGCCAATCAGAGTGCCGAACGCGGTCTCGATTAATTTAAACTACAAAGTCCTTTTTAGCAGGTATGAGGAGTGGCGATTACGCCAGTAAATTAGAATAAAACAATAATTTCTCCATATTTGATTCATCCATCATCAGTTTTATTGACACATCATTCTGAATCAAGGGCATTTAATAACTTTGTTGCTTATATGGTCTATGCTACTTACAACGTTCCAGATATATTCCTTGACCCTGTCTTTGTTATTTTGAAGGTAAGATAATACAGATCCCGTTGTAGCTGCGTTACTGAATTCTTTCCTGAAATCACGGAAACTTTTTGCTAAGTAAACGATGGATTCCAAAATTTCTATCTCCTTCGAGTAGATTATGAAGTTGTTTTTAACTTTCTCGTCCACTGCTGCGGCACATGAAGAATGTTCTTCACATTTTTCTTTCTTCAGTTTCAGTAGCTGGAATTATAAAGGTGGTGATAGATTATTATGTTGACTGATGGCCACTGTTAAGTAAGAAGACTCGGGGTCTCTGGTTAAAGCTCAGTATTTACCTACATTATATTTTACCAGGTAGCATTGTTAAGTGTCGACTGCATGGTTGGTGCGGTATCTGGGCGACCAGCTGCCATGCAACGTGCCGCGGATTCGATTCCCGCACGGAACAACACTGCGTGATCCACAGATTGTTGTTTCGGGTTTAGGTGTCATTGTGTACGTGAAGCTGTTTGTAAACGTACCCACGACACAGGAGAAAATCCTAATGTGGGGCAACGATTAAAAAAAAGATAATTACAACATTGTAATAGGCCTTTTGATTTTGACTTACCTTTGGAATATGTGCATTTCCTCTTCGAATATACTCCTCAATGCCGGGGAGAACTCTATCAGCATTTTTGAGTCCATACGAGTAGAACTTCTCTACCGTTGGCGAATACACCATATCGTACACCCCGTCGGCACTATAAAATGTACAATTCATTACTTAGATAATCATATTACATCTACATAATACATCAGAAAGGTGATTGGAATGAGCCTGGACTTAGGTATGGAAACTTAAAAAAAACAGCCTAAACTGACACATACTTATGTTATACGTAGTGCCTATTAAATGTAAATAGTGTTTTGTTTCCCGCGAGGCAATCTCCGGCCACCGTAAGCACGAGGCAGCGGACAGCGACTGCGAGCACGGGTAACTCGCCGCCCGACCAGAACCAGACCCGAGCGTATGACTCGTCGCGCGCGCCCTATACGGCCATCAGACAACCACATATGGGGCCCAATAGGGCTGATGCCGATACGAAGCCGTAGAAAACTAAGGACTCTATTGTGTGTAGTAACAGATCAATTCTTCTGTCTTTATTCTTGCTTGATTTTCCACCCATCTATCTAAATAGGTGCCTACCTACTTACGGTGGCAAATTTATCGGATTTTTTTTAAGGGGGGAAAATCATCGAATGACTGCTCCCGCCTGGGTGAGGCGGGAAGGAGTGTCAGAACCTTACAGACTAAAAATCACCCCGTTCCTTCTCCTGCACGTCGAGCCGGAGCCCTGGTAACCCGTTAGGTTCTCTGGGACTCCGAATCGGTATCGGCCTTGTTGGGCCCCATCTGTGGTGGTCTGATGGCTCTTTGAGGCGCGCGCGGAACGCGACGCGCCGTACGCTCGGGTCCTTTTATGGTCGGGCGGGGAGCCACCCATGCTCGCCGTCCACAGGCCCGCGCTTACGGTGGCCGGAGATCGTAAATTTATCGGATAGGCCCTTCTTTACCTAATAAAACAGAGAAGTTCAAGTGTGAACTGAACAGGGCCTCGGCTGGGGGCCCATGGCATTTTGTTTGTTATTCTATAGTTGTACCTACTAACTGGTCGAGAAATGATTGAACTTACTCAGTACAAGTGTTCTTTATGATCTTCGCTAAAGCAATCAAAACTATCAGCAGCGCGTTGTATTGGCGACCCGCGTCTTCATCCGAAGGCGAATTTATTTCCCTGTGTAATTGCAGATTCACATAAATTAGGTAATTTCCAAATTGTATTAAAATAAGTATACTTACATGAAAATGAGTGTAATTAAGTGTAAAAGTTATTCGATAACAAAGCAATTAGACTTAAGTTACACTTAAAATCATAACATAACATCACGCCCTCTATCTCCGAAGGAGTGCAGAGGAGCGCATTACGGCACTTAATGCCACTGTACAATGTAACATCCACTTTTCACTATTTATGTTATGAGTCCCATGTAATAGGGGGTTAGCCTAATGCCATATACCGGGCACAATTCCAAACTCTGTGCTACTACTGAAATTTTTTTAAAACCCAGTAATACTTTATCCCGAATGACGAATCGAACCCGAGACCCCTTGCCTGGCAGTCGCACTTGCGACCACTTGGCCAACGAAGCAGTCAACGTCTACGTGTTTACATGTATTCCAAGACTTACGTTTTTTGTATTAAATAGTTCCCGAAGTGTTCAACCAGATCAAGGTCGTCGTAATATGAGTGACCGTCAGTCGAAGCCTTCGGTTTATAAAGATTATCTCTATCATCTTCAGCTGAGGCTGAGAACAATGGTTTCCCTTTTCTATAGGAAGAAATATCGTCATCTTCATATGATACATCGTTTGATCGTGATTTCACAAGCTCCTTCATGTTTCGGTCGTGTTTTTCTATCAAATAGTTTAGTCTTGCTAAATCCTCGGAAGGTCTTTCTTCTTGGTGTGGTGCAGTACCGTGGCTTGGCGGACTGTATGGGTCGAAGAAATCATTTAGGCGGCCGTTGTACCTTGATGACAACCCGTAAATCCCAGTTGGGT